TCAAGTACAATTGCTTGAATGTGTGCTTTGTATATAAATGAAAACAAAAGAAAGGTCTAGGAAAACCAAATCTGAAACATTATTTTTAATAACAATCTGAGCCAAATAAACAGTGACATGTTAGTGAATATGAGTATGGTTCAATGTAAGCTGATAATTTGTATTAATTTATTAACATGGTGTATAGGAGGAATCTCAGTGGAATACTAACGCTCAGTAAATAAAGAACAGAATTTAGAATAAAGATCAACCATGTAAGCCATGAGTTATATACATATACATATACATATACATATACAATTCAGTACTGAATGGGGAGAAAATGAAAAGCCTGTTTGTATCAAAGCAATCAGATTAATAGAAATGTATGGAAAGGGAATTCTCCTTGTTTGTGTTTTATTCACACCTAGACAACATGATCACAACACATATGTGAAAGTGTAAACTTGAACACTGTGGATTTTACAATGTATCACAATTATGGGAACACCTGTATTCAATATTCTATAGCTTTCTTAACAGATTTCAATGCAGCTGGGAATGTAACTTTTTAATATAAGGATAAACCCAGTACAAGAGACAGAAGATCATATGTATGAGGACAATTCTCACCACATGAAATAAAGCTGCCCCATATCCTTCTCTGTGTGCTTCCCTTCAATTCTCAGAAAGAGATTTTTAGAGATTACCAAAGGTTATACAAATGCTGGGAAAACAGGAAAATTCAATTTCATAAAGGCAACTCTATAGTATTTGCAATGAAATTGCAATATTTATATCATGCATGGTTGTACAACTGATTAATGGTGCAACTATAGTCCTTTCAGGAGTGATATATAATTTTTATGAATAAACAAACAAAAGCATTTGTGTTAATTATAACGGCTCCCTGAGGGCCAACATCTCTTCTAATGTGATAATGTATATCAAGATTCTATTCTAAACTTTCTGAACTATAAAACTCTGTCTGCTCTTTAAGTGTGGATATTTCAATGACATTTTAATCATTATCTTATTGCTGCTCACATTCCAATTTTTCATGAGCCTTTCTAGAACTTTTCTTCGAACATAACTATGCTAAGATATTCCCAGAGACTACTCTGAGGGGTAAATAAGGTACCTTTCATTAAAGAGGGAGTTTTGTGCTGTTAGAGTTTTGTGGAGTTAGAGCTCCTTCTCCTGTTAAATTTGTTTGCATTATTAGTGGTCTGCCAAATCATCTGAGAAACGCTTATTAGAAGTAGGGTAGCCTCCTTTATTTGAAATTGGCAATATTTATTGTCAGAGAAAAAGAACTAGTTAACAACACAGAAGTTAAAAAAAGAGGCCAAAGAATTATAACATGGTCCTAAATCTGTAATTCTAACAGATAACACAATTTCCTTTTGCTTTCTATTACAAAGAACACCCTATTCTAAAATGTATCAGTCTTTTTCTTCTGATTATCGTATTCCATGGCCATGTTCATGCACATGCATATTTTCTGTCTCTCTACATAGAAATCACATATTAAAGCATCATGAATTTTTTACATTTTTATACATTAATTCTACAGCTATATGCTTGAATTCTGAACTGCCTGACATTTAAAGGTTAGTGTATACTTTAACAATATTAAAGTCTCAGCACTGATTGTACTTTATGCTGATCTGCATATCTAAGCTAATTGTAAGAGTGCCTGGCCATAAAGGAACTACCTCAGCTATCTGACCTACTTCCCCTGAGTGAATGCTTTCAGCCTCTCTACTTCTCTCCTGTTCACAAGACTGAGGTTATTTTGTAATTTTCACGACATCACACTTCCTTTCTCTGTAACTCCAAAACATATGGGGAGTTGCTCCACACATTGGTAGTTTAGCGAAATGCAGAGGTGAGAGTCTTGTGCCATTTTTTAAAGTGTTCTCATTCCTTCAATTGTCGTAGATAATTATAAATCATTTCTAATTTTTAATTTATTTTTATTCAGTAATTATCATAGAATAATAACTATATGGAAGACTATAAAGGAACCTTGAGCCAGGCAAACCCACACTACTAATTCAAGGCAATAAAGAAGAACTTGGTTGTAGAATTCTACTGGTGATGACAGTTAACATCTTACCCAAGGTCATCAGCATATACTGTTCCTTACAGAATTTAATACATAAAAACAAACAAGACATTTGACCTAAGCAGCTCTTTCCCTTGCCTTCTGCAAGCAAACATATGTTCTAGCTGCTATAGAAATTTCACCCTGCCCCCAATTATTAACCCATGCAAAATGACTAGTTTTCACAGTCCTACCCTCTGTCCACCTGTGTCCTGATTTAATGCAGCAATGCAGTACTATTCCCTGGACCATTTCAACTAAACCTGAAACTGTACAGCGTACAGGGTAATGCTAATTTTTTCTAAAGCATGTGTCCACTACATGTCTGTCTGAACAGGAAACACTGTATACTAGTTCATAATTCTGGACAGATGACTGCATTTTACAGCTTCCAAAATCATCATCTAACAGGTAGAGAAGACTGTCCTATGCTTTTAGGAACTATGGAAAGAGCCACACAGATCCACAGATTCCCAGACTGGGTGACAGTAAAGAACTGGGAACAACAGTGTGACTGTCCAGTATGAGCACAAGGATATTTGTAATTTGATTCTGCCACACCCAATCAGGACTGGGATATACTGTATCTGCTGCCAATATCTGATTTTCCTCCCGTTAATGATGGTTCAAGACGATGACCAAAAGAAGGAAAATGTCTTCTCCCTTCCGCTAATGGAGAAGCACAAATGTAGCTTGCATCAGCATCTGAGAATAAATCTGGAGAGATCAAGGCCTTTGGAGGCAGTTATTACTTTACAATCCCCCAAGACACATATTACAACTAAAACTAGTAATTAGGGTATATTAATAATGCCCAGTAGCAAAGAAAACAAAATAGGTGCAAGGCTTAAAGAAAAGGGTTAGGTTTCAAAAGAGGAAGAATGAACAGAGAACAATGGATAGGCCCATCTAAGATGGTAATTAGGCTTCAAAGAAATGCTGCCTTGAAGGTAACCAGGCAAGGCTTGATTTGATTATATACAAAAGGAATCTGAATTCTATCATTACTCTCATCTAGTTACTCACTGTGCCTAGAAGTGGGGGAGAGGGCAGCTGATTTCTTCCTCTCTCTTACAATATTTCACCCCACAACTTGGGAGGGCTTAGATTTCTTTCCTTTCCTTACCTTACTAGAGGTTGGAAGGATTGGTAAAAGGTCAAGGTTATTTATTTGTTTGTTTGTTTGTTTATCAAATTTGTCACCACCCATCTCATTAAAAAACAACTCTGGGCAGTTTACAGAGAAGATAAAATCAACTAAAAATACAATATAAAAATAGTCCTGAATAAATAAGTATATTCCAAGAATTGATATTAATTGGCAAGTAGCTTGGGGAGCATCATCAAGATGCCAGCCACCCCCAGGATTGATTAAGACTCTTATTGCCAGGTCTATATAGTCCTTTCTGGAAAGCAAAAGCATAGGGGCCCGCTGCACCTCTGGGGCGGGGGGAATATTCCAAAGGGCGGGGGCAATGACAGAGAAGGCTGTCCTCCTGGGCCCCGCCAGTCGACATTCTCTCGCTGACAGGTCCGTAACATGCCCTCTCTACCTGACCAGGTGAGACGGACTGATGTGATGGGGGTGAGACGGTCCCTCAGGTAGCCTGGGCCCATGCCATGTAGGGCTTTAAAGGTGATAACCAACACCTTGAATTGGATCCAGAAGCAAACTGGCACCCAATGCAGCTCCCACAGTAAAGGTGTTGTATGTGCCATTCTTGGGGCAGCCAAGACTGTCCGCACAGCCGCATTTTGAACCAGCTGTAGCTTCCA